GTTTTTAGTGTGATCTCGGTCTTTGGGCATTGGAGAGTATCTTAATTCTTCCAGGGTGAATCATAATTAGGTGGTGAACCAAACATTTTTAAATGGAAGTGCCTACATTTTTTGCAGATTCAGATAGGCCCATTCAAGCAAATCGATTTGATATTATACATATGATTTTTTCATCTCAGTACACCGGGTGGTTCTCCACGTTCTCTCCTATAACTTTTATTATTGAAAATAGGAAAACGAATTTTGAGGTTGCACATTTTAGACGATTTTACATTTTTTGACATATTCACTTGCTTTGACGTACTTCCGGTTTGACAGGAAACGACTACAACTTTAGATTTTTAAATGGGACACTCGATATATTCCTAACTTGTCAATATTTGACAAATAAAGTCATTTTTATTTCAATTTTTATGTTTCAATCTAGAATGCTATGGATTCTGTAAATCGCTTTACTTTTGATCAAGTAACACGCGAAAAATTCGATTTTGAATGACCTTACAGTCAACTTAAAGATCTTTTCTCCAGTTTACTTGATTTTTCAAATAGAAAATGGGCAGCTCGTCGTCTTTTTCTAAGAGACCATTTTCTTATGAATAATTTGACACTACACGCTCTTATTTTATTTTCACTATTTTCTGAGTAATTGTAAGAAACGATCGTACCTAACAACAAATAATACGTCTCTGCATTCGGTATAGCTATGCACTATTCTAGTTATCCCTGACAAACAACTGAAGGTGTGTTGCTTTCGAAATATAAAATGTGCAACGAACCAGAAGAAGATGCGAATAACTGCAAAATATACAGGGTGGCGCATCTAAAACAAAACAGACGCATTTACTGGCAGCTCATCGACGGGTCTGAGCGTTTCTCAAAAAAAAAACTGAGCTGCCAGTAAACGCGTCTGTTTCGTGTTCGATGCGCCACCCTGTATATCATTATTATAATAAAAAATAACATTAAAAAATGTGCCATTAAGGTTGTAAGTGTTTAAATGGACTCCTTGATCACGACAAAGTTTAACTTTATCAATTGTTGCTCGCACCACATTCGCCATACATCAGTTATTCGCGAGTACCTGACGTAGTTTCATATACCTGACGTTCGATTGTCCCCCAAAGAAAAAAATCGAGCGAAGTAAGATCCGGTGATCTGAAATATAATTATATGTAATATAGTTTCGTCTTCAATAAAAGTGACAGGAGTGATCCACCTTGGAGAACTACCCGGTAATTATATTGCATCCAGTACATTCTTGCAAATTGTTAAGAAGCTACTGATCTCAATGATACTATACATCTGTTAGATGTAACAAATTACACTTATTTTTCCTACATCTGCCACGGAAACAGAAATATGACTTGCTTCATATAGTTTGATGTGCAGAGGTCGAATACTCATCCTATCTAAGAACCTATCTAATCATCTAATCAAGATTCGCCTTTTAAAACGACTCATACCTTTTCTTTAAAATCTCTAACGAAGGTGTAGAAGTGAAGAAGTATAATCTAGTTGACGCCATTTTTTTCTCTCCCAAACATTGCAAGGAAACCTAAGCAAACAGTAGACACAATTTTCTTCTAGACGTCAACAGATTGCTAATAAATTTTTTCCTTGTTGCAGGTACGTTTCTTACATTACAAGCCTTTATGTCATGTTGATAGAAAAGCTGCAAGTACGCTGGTAAGTAATGGCTTTTTAGTCAGTCGTGATTAGGAACAGTTCGCCAATAGATGTTAAGCTTCGGTTGTATAATTCAGGATCTTCCAAGCATTTGTAGATTCTGAAGCACATTTAGAGAGAATTATCAATAATTTTGCACCTCAAGCAGTTGTCAAATTGATGCAGCTTTTGTGAAGACAAATAGACAGCCATTATCCTATACTTTTTTTCGACGAATTTGTTTTCATTTGTTTCTTAATTTTCATTTTTAAAATAATTCATTTGGTTAAATTACAGGTTTGGTCAATTTTCTCAGCTCGAAAGAAAACATGTAAGCTAACAAAGCTTCCGCGTTTTGCCAGTTGTATCCATGCTCAACCTGTACGTGATATAATCGTTTTTATAATTGTTGGATTCAACACCGATTCATCGAGGATATTATAAAATTAAAGATAGTCAAGCGTGGATACTATCAAACTTTTAACTAGCTTTTTACAGGTTCTAAAATTCAAAATGAATCTACTAGCATATACGTATAGTAAATTAATTGTGATGCACGTGTTTTCCCTTAGTCTATTATACAAGTACCTAGAGCAAAAAAGCAGGCAAGTAATATTTAGTGGTCATAACTTTGTATGGTGCCTGATACTGTTATTGCAATATTGAAGATTTGTTCGAATAAAACACAACAGTATTACCAACGAATCTACATATTACACATAAACTATATCTGTAAAACTAGAGTCCTCTATCTACCTATCCATCCCACCTGTCTATCTGTGGTAGTTTTTTTTTTCGGCACTAGGACAACCGAGGTCCCATCTGTGGTAGTTGAGGCATCTATGAACCAATCTAGTCATCGGTCTCACCTGTGACAGTTGTCCCATCTCTACCATTTTTACCACTAATGTCATTCTTATTCTAATAGCTAAAGTCTCAAAATCTAGTGTAGGAAAACAATCGTTACTAATGTTTCAATTGCCCCAGAAGGATTATGAATCAATATAGTCATCGGTCTCATCTGTGACAGTTGTCCCATCTGTACCATTTTTACTACTAACGTCATTCTTATTCTAATAGCTAAAGTCTCAAAATCTAGTGTAGGAAAACAATCGTTACTAATGTTTCAATTGCCCCAGAAGGATTATCAAAGTATATTTTTTCAAACCTCAGTAATGATTATTCTGTATCGTTATGTCTTGAATTAGTTCAGTTTCATTTTAGTCCCTATGGCAAAAAATCAGGCAAGTTCTCTTATCAGGACTAATCTTCAACATATAGTTAGCAAATGCTCAGAAGCCAGCGAGAAGTATTGCTGCGCATGGTATGCACTTACAAAACCAATGCATTGTCGGTGCTAGCTGGTATCCCGCCAATTGAATTGCCGGCTGCGCAGAGATGCGCACTCTACAAGCGACGAAAGAGAGGGGTTTTTTGTCAGATGGCAGGAGAGATGGAAAGCAACTGGCCGTGGTGCATAGATGAGAGGCTGATCCCAAATACTAAAACAGGGAGCGGTGGAGATGGGTTGCTATATTGTGCATTTTTTTTTGACATCTACCTAAAGAGGATAGGAAACAGAGAGCACACGAACTGAGTATATTGCAACGGATAGGACGATACTTATCTTCTACTCGATGGCTTGACTACCAGAGAAAGCTGTAATTGCCGTTCTGCAAGAAGCTCACTGCTGATAATCTTGCCACCCATGTAAGCAAGGGCAGATGCGTTGATAGTCAACCGGTAGTGAGGCGGATGATGCTGAATAAGGTACAGGGGGACAGACTAATTACCGTCATTTGGGATGACATTGATCGAAAATTAGTTGTTTTCTCATATTTTTCTCGAGTTAATAGGAACAATCTTTTAGGAGAAGTGTGAATATATAGAAAATGCTTATAGGAATCGAACAGTAAAATATCACGAATTTCAATGTTAATGTATAAGAAATATACAGGAATAAAGTCTTGAACAATCTCATACACGTTTTGGGGTGAGATTGTTCACACATACTATGCTGCACAGGAAGTAAGCAGACAAGACTATAGATGATCATGGGATTTCTTTATCATAAATTGACCTTTCTTCACAAATTAAGACAAATTGATAATGGTTATGAAACCTTTATTAGTTATAAAAGTGAAAATACACAAATTTGAACAAAAAAATGTTTCTCTTAATGAAAACGGAACTTGAAAGCAGAGTCACAAACTACTTCATTTCAAAAATGTCAATAACTCTTTCGAAGAAGTACTTGTCGATACCATCACTTTGTTTTATTGACGGATCTGTTACAAATTCGTCAACGTCTTCAACTGCGAAAATCTTCTTCGATTTATCTACAGACTTCGTCATACCCAGTAAGTCAATTTCTTTTTTTCCTTCTTCGTTCACTCTCACCTGCTGTATAATAGCTATGTACCGATAGATTGTTGTGTCCAGCGTAAACCTTAACTAGCCCAAATTTCCCAGCCGCAACTTGATATTCTTCTGGTTCGAAATATTCTATATATGCTCCGACATCATCATTTGCATCTTCTAGTAGACTGTCGTCGGAGTTGTCTTTTCTTAATGTCTCATCTACATCTGAATCGCTAGAATCTTCATCAATACATGCTGTTATGCTTTTGCCAGGTTCTACCGACAGTTTTTTCCTTTTAATATTCCTTCTTGTTGGTACTGCTGTAAAACGTTGTTGTTGCAAGTACGTCACAAGAATGTTATTCACAGTGCCATCAGCATCATTGCCAATAGCTTCATTTGGGATCTTCTGCATTACTCGCTCAGGATCAAATGGCGCAACTCCTGTCGCTTGAAATGACGCTATTAAATCTTTTTGTATAGCATTTTCTGATTTTTTATTCATTTCACTAAGAGCGGCAGCCAGTAAATGGGGAAAATCTCTTTTATCAATAGAAGTCTGTTGTGAATGGGTCTTCTTCCAGTTCAGTAACATCGACCTCAACGCTATTTTAAATGGACGGAAAAATCCAACATCAAGGGGGTGTGTGATGTGAGTCGAATTCTTCGGAAGGCACACAAAGCCAATGTCATTTTCTTGGCATTGTTTTAAGACGAGAGGTTGTCACCCAACCGCACCTTCCGACCCGGTAAGCGTTTCGCATGTGGTAAGAATGCCATCTCAAACCAGTCTGTGAAAGTTTGGGCATCGATCCACTCATGGTGGGTTCGATTGTAATGAGAACCTTGACCACAACATCTGTCATCGCAACAAGGCTCACCTTTTGGACCCAATTCAGTCCATTGCTGCCCCTTTTTTTCTGCCTTGTAGATGATGTAAGGAGGTAATAGTACACCAGTGGCTGAACCACACATCATAATTGATATTGTTGTCTTTGTAAAGTTGCATATGCGTTCTGGATACTTGGTTCCACGACGAAATGCTTCCCAGGGTCATCTTGAAAATTCGTTTCGTCGTAATTGAACACGTTAGCGGCTGGGAGATCTTTCAGCGTTTCTCTCAGATTATTAAAATATTCTACGACGATATCACGCGAAATACGTGCACGTGACATTTTTAAATTCGCCGACACTTTTTGATTGATCTCTCTTTCGTGTCTTTCTAGCAGAGAACGAGCCCAGTCTATTCCAGGCATATTTGATTTAAACACTAACATTGCGACCTTGGCTATCTAAGTAATTTTTAGCTAAGTATCGTAAGTCAGTTATTGTAAGAGGGAATCCCCACTCTCCACAGCAGTTTGCTGCCTTTATAAATGCTTTTTCTTCGTTAAATGTGAAAACTGTTTGACCTCCGCTTTTCTTAAAATGGCTACCAAGGTATTTATAGTGAATAGTGCCAAATGGAATTTTATATTCAGCTGCAACACGACGAATAGACCAATCATCTTCAGCAATCTTTCGAAGTGTAGAATAATCCTTGTATGGACGTGCTTCTAGCCTTCGTTGGTATTTTCTTGGCATGGCTGTAAACAACAAACAAAAAATTAGATAAATAAGGTAGATTTTATGTTACCTTCAAACTTATCTATTACGTGGGGTGAGATTGATCAGATGACAAATCTCGCCCCATATACATGATCAATCTGACCCCAGCTAACAAAACGACAAATAAGATCAAAATGGCTGAGCCGATTGTTAACAGCAAAACATACGATGGCTACAAGTCAAACTGCAAATACATGAAAGTGGTCATGTTTTCTCTGTAAAAAAGCATCATATTGGAATCATAAAGTGCTCAAGTTCATAATAAAATCGCTTTTTCACGATTCTGTTCAATATTTCAGTAGAAATAACTGATATTCAGATAGCTCTGACAGCTTCTATTAAGCGGCATTTTGATAAGGTATACTAAGTGACATATAAATCCGAACACCCAGTTTAAATGGTTTTATTTTAATAAAAGTTGGTGAATGTATTTATCTTACTGTAAATAACAAGTGACAAAATGTTCAGCCTTATCAGTTGGACATTCCGGTTTTTATACTGCTTTTTTTTAATTCACTAACGCTCTAAAAATGAATATTTCAGCCGCAGTAAAGAATCAACGTTGGCGGATTTTGGTTCTTGACATCCTTTACGATCGGTTACGATGCCTAGAGTACGGAGACCTGTACGATTTCGTCAACTTAGTGAGTTTGATAGGGGCCGTATAGTGGGACTTCGGGCAGCTGGACTTTCTTTTCGGGCAATTGCAGTTAGAGTGCAAAGAAGTGTAGACACTGTGGTTAGGTGTTGTCAGGCATGGCTTCGAGAAGGCCGTACGCAAAGAGCAAGAAGCACTGGACGCCGCCGTAGAACAACAGACCGTGAAGATCTTCGCCTAAGATTATTGGCCTTAAGGGACCGTTTCTCCACTACCAGGACGATTGCAAATGAATGGTTTGCAGAACACGGAAGACCTATTGGAATGCGAAGTGGTTACCGGACACGAATGAGAAGTTTTGGCTTGTTTTCATACCGACCACACTGGGTCCTCCCTTTAACTCGAGAACACCGACGTAATCGCCTTGAGTGGTGCAGACAACGGTCACTCTGGGATCAGGAATGGAACAGTATTGTCTTTAGTGACGAGTCTCGATTTTGTGTAGGCATGCACGATGGTCGTACCAGGATTAGAAGGTGACGTGGTGAAAGGAGGAATCACAAAGGTGATCTTTAGTCTTCATCAGAGGTAACATGAACGCGCAGCGTTATATCCACGAAGTTCTAGAACCCCATCTTTTACCCTATCTTGACACCCTGGCAGATCCAACTTTCCATCAAGATAATGCTCGACCACATGTTGCAAGAGTCACAATAGACTTCTTTCAACATAGTGATGTCACATTGTTACCGTGGCCACCAAGATCTCCCGACTTATCCCCAATAGAGCACGTGTGGGATATGATGGGTAGGAGATTGCTCAATTTGCAACGTCCTTCTCAGACTCTAGAAGCACTTCGAGAGGAGTTGGTGGTTGCCTGGAATGAGATACCACAGGAGGACATTGACCACCTGATCAGAAGCATGCCTAGGCGCGTTGGAGAATGCGTAGCACATCAGGGTGCATCCACACATTATTAAAGGTCAAAGGGCTTTAAAGCAGTGCAGTTATGCTTCATTAAGTACTTATACAAAATTTTATTAAAATAAAACCATTTAAACTGGGTGTTCGGATTTATATGTCACTTAGTATACATGATCAATCTGACCCCTGCTAACAAAACGACAAATAAGATCAAAATGGCTGAGCCGATTGTTAACAGCAAAACATACGATGGCTACAAGTCAAATTGATAAGAAATAGCAAAATACATGAAAGTTGTCATGTTCTCTCCGCAAAAAAGCATCATTTTGGAATCATAAGGTGCTCAAGTTCATAATAAAATCGATTTTTCACTATTCTATTCAATATTTCAGTAGAAATCACTGGTATTTAGATAGCTCTGACAGGTTCCATTAAGCGGCACTTCGATAAGGTATTTCGTTAAATATTAATGTTTCTGAAATCCACTCTGATATACTAAGTGACATATAAATCCGAACACCCAGTTTAAATGGTTTTATTTTAATTAAAGTTGGTGAATGTATTTATCTTACTGTAAATAACAAGTGAAAAAATGTTCAGCCTTATCAGTTGGACATTCCGGTTTTTATACTGCTTTTTTTTTAATTCACTAACGTTCTAAAAATGAATACTTCAGCCGGAGTAAAGAATCAACGTTGGCGGATTTTGGTTCTTGACATCCTTTACGATCGGTTACGATGCCTAGAGTACGGAGACCTGTACGATTTCGTCAACTTAGTTAGTTTGATAGGGGCCGTATAGTGGGACTTCGGGCAGCTGGACTTTTTTTTCGGGCAATTGCAGTTAGAGTGCAAAGAAGTGTAGACACTGTGGTTAGGTGTTGTCAGGCATGGCTTCGAGAAGGCCGTACGCAAAGAGCAAGAAGCACTGGACGCCGCCGTAGAACAACAGACCGTGAAGATCGCCACCTAAGATTATTAGCCTTAAGGGACCGTTTCTCCACTACCAGGTCCATTGCCTAAATGAATGGTTTGCAGAACGCGGAAGACCTATTGGCATGCGAAGTGTTTACCGACGAATGAGAAGTTTTGGCTTGTTTTCATACCGGCCACACTGGGTCCTCCCTTTAACTCGAGAACACCGACGTAATCGCCTTGAGTGGTGCAGACAACGGTCACTCTGGGATCAGGAATGGAACAGTATTGTCTTTAGTGACGAGTCTCGATTTTGTTTAGGCATGCACGATGGTCGTGCCAGGGTTAGAAGGCGACGTGGTGAAAGGAGGAATCCACAGTTTTTTGTTGAAAGGCATGTTCATCACACTGTTGGAGTTATGGTTTGGGGTGCTATAGCTTATGGTTCCAGGTCACTTTTAATCTTCATCAGAGGTAACATGAACGTGCAGCGTTATATCCACGAAGTTCTAGAACCCCATCTTTTACCCTATCTTGACACCCTGGCAGATCCAACTTTCCAACAAGATAATGCCCGACCACATGTTGCAAGAGTCACAATAGACTTCTTTCAACATAATGATGTCACATTGTTACCATGGCCACCAAGATCTCCCGACTTATCCCCAATTGAGCACGTGTGGGATATGATGGGTAGGAGATTGCTCAATTTGCAACGTCCTCCTCAGACTCTGGAAGCACTTCGAGAGGAGTTGGTGGTTGCCTGGAATGAGATACCACAGGAGGGTGCATTCACACATTATTAAAGGTCAAAGGGCTTTAAAGCAGTGCAATCATTTTGAAATTTTTATCATTTACTTATTATGCTTCATTAAGTACTTATACAAAATTTTATTAAAATAGAACCATTTAAACTGGGTGTTCGGATTTGTATGTCACTTAGTATACTACCAGTTTAAGCGTGTTCCAAAAAGTAGGAAACTTCGTCATTCCCCAGATCGTGTACTCTCTGTGTACTATCCTCCAACAAGTGCTTTACGTTCTCCATTAGCCGCTTATGAGATGCACCACTTTACTTCTCCCTTAAGCAAAGTTCTTCGTTAATTAGATTAGTACCAGCATGCTTTTGCAAGCTATTTACTGCGGTTAATTTCTTCACACCCGCTCCAGTATCGCCAAAACTTTCCTAAAATGTGTGAAATATAATTAGACCATTAGCCCCAACTTGACGCTGGAAACGGCTGGCTATGCAACAAGTTTATCTTTTGCAAACTCGTTAACGAAGAACACATTGCACATAAATTTGTTCGACGAAGATGGGATTTGTACTCTACAAGACCATGGAATCTATATTGAAAGACTGGACGAAATATCATGTTCTCAGTATTTTTAAAGTAAATATGAAGGATACTTAACCATTATTTTTATGACACCTATAGAGGGCGTCAACGTTTTCTTTTTAAGACATTTTTTTGAGGTATTTTTGGAGTCGATAGTCATTTAACTTTTACAAAAAAGCTCGAAAGGGTTCGAAAAGGGTGAGAACTACCCCCACCTCTACATAAATTATATCAAAAATTTTCGCAACTCGCCCAAAGCCTCTGATATTTTGTATTTAAAGATCCTTTTATACAGGGTGTCCGCAAAGTTGGGGTTTTCCTTTACACGACGTGTAGATCTTGAAAACATAAGCAATTTTTCTTAGTACCATATACACCAATGTCTTAAGGGAACCGAGATAAAGAGCTCTGCAACATCAAAAATATCTGAATACCGTCCTGTAGCCGCGACGCGCCGCGATATCCCCGACTGTTACAAGGTCTCAACCCGACGGCAGAACTGGGTCGGGGTCAGTGTGTCAGGTTAGTATGCAACCTTCAACCGAAGGTTACGGTCACGCGTATGGAGGTAAACGAACTCGTATAATCGATTGCGTTTCAAAAAACAACAAGCACTAGAGACGTGGCTAGAGAAGTGCAAGTATCAAAAACTAAAGTGTGGCAAACGCTGCTTGAAGAGGAGCTGTATCCGTTTCACGTCCAATGTGTACAAGCACTTCAACCTGACGATTTTCCAGCAAGAGTGCGGTTTTGTGAGTGGTTGTTGCATCAACATGACAATAATCCGGACTTTTTGAAGTGCATATTGGTGACAGACGAATCTACGTTTACGCGTAATGGGGTGAATAACTTTCGCAACACTCATGTTTGGT